GGTCAAATATAAGTTAGTGCAACCAATATGGAGAACAGTATGGAGGTTCATAAAAAAATTAAAAATACAAGTACACATGAATGATAAATCCCACTGCTGGGTATATATCCAAAGGATGGGAATTCAATATATTGAAAGATATCTGTACTCCCATGTTTGTTGCAGCACTATTCACCATAGCCAAGAAATGGAATCAACCTAAGCACCCATTGATGGATAAATGGGTAAGGATATGTGATATTTGAAAAGTAATAGTGAGGAGGAGATAGAAAGGTTGAAATAATGGGAGGATTTAAAGCCAAAAGGGAACAGGAAATGTTACTGTGAGCAAGAATCAGAGAGAATAATGGAATCAAGAGATGGGCCAGAACAAAGCACATATATTAATATAAAGATGAGCTAAATAAACATGGTAGGGATAGAGAGTAGTTTCTCTAAGGGTTTCATTTAAAATCTTTGTTTCTTTGTCCTCCACCCATCTATTGTTTCTTATCCCAACCCCACAAAGATGCTGTAGTAAGCAGATGATCAAAGGTAGTGGACAACCAACATGATCATCATCAGTATCAAGGCATCCTGACTGTGTATAATCAGCATGCATCCATACTCTCGTCCTGACTTTCGAGTTGGCAAGTTAAGAGTCTACAGGTATTGGATACTGTATCTCTGTGCCCCTAACTCTGTCTTCTTCTTCTATCAGAATTGCCCTGAGATACTTCTGCATTAAGCAGAGGCCAGTGTAAGCTGGGGAATTCTGAATCATGAAAATATTTTAATCACTGGTGGAAATATGTCCCTGGAACATATGTCCCCTCAGGTTTCTCAGGAGACAGAACTAGATGACGACTGCTCTAAGTGTCCTGAGTTGGAGGCAAGAGAGAAGAATATTTCAGTTGGGCATGAAAACTTACACTTTTTTGAAAAAAAAAAAAAGCTGACATTCCATAGAAATCTTACAGTTTTCTCCTTTTCAGTTCTGATTTACTTTGAAGATAATCATGTGCAGTCTGTCTACAAGGGGTGAAGATTTGTTCACTCTGCTGCAGACACTATGGGGAGAGGAAATGCTCCCAAGACAGCCAACCTTTCCTAAACAGGGCTGAATTTGCCTCTAAAAATATATCTAAAATACCAGCAGAAAGTTTCTTTCATCTGCTTCTAGAACTTTCTAAAAAAATCCACCATTCTCTACAGAAAATCCTTATAACACCAAACAGCTCTATTAATCCAAAATATTCTCTGGCAGAACACATGAATTAGACATTAGTATGTTTTCTCCATCAAATACTTATAGAGATTTCATAAAAGTTCACAAAGACCCAGCCTCCAAAGAGAAAAAGTCCACATCCCTTCCCACCCAACCTTGTAAGATTGGCTCAGTGAGTTACTTAGCACAGTGAATCTAAGACCACAGCAAACCAGGGGCCAATTAATCCCCAGAAGGCTGTCAACAGGCAGACTCTGTCCTCAGAGGCTCCCTTCTCCCTGTGCTAAGGGACACCTCCCACTACAGTGACCAACTGCTCCCCCAAGCATGGCTTCAGAGTAATATTCAGGTGCAGACTACTGAAAGTTACCATAAGCGTCCTCCTTTCTGCCAAATCTTTTTGAATGGCATAGGTAAAGTTTCAAATAAATATTAATACCAATGCAATTCAATTCTAAATCCATCATTTGTATTTCTATGACTTTAGGCAAGATTCTTGACTACTCTTAATATACTATTCTGGAAAATATTAATGTTAAATATAATGTTTAATAATAATGACAATAAATTATTAATAATGATCAATAGTTATTATTAATACTAATGATAAAACACACTATAGTAATTACAATGAAAGCAACTAATAAAAATTTCTGTACTTTCTATAATATTTTGAAATCAATAAATCAGTAAAGTAAGGAAGGGAATAGAGAGAAAGGTGACAGAAAGAGAAAGGTGACAGAAAGAAAATAATGTTTAACATCTGTTTATTTTAAATCTCTCTCTTAAAGTATAATTTACATAGCATACAATGCAGCATTTTAAAATGTATAGATGAATTTTGACAAATGTATATGCCTGTGTAAGTACTAGCATTCCAATATACTGGCACCCTATAGATTAAAGGACGATATTCCTAGAAGGAAATTGGCCAGTTGGTCAATTTAGGAGCCAATATATTGGAATGATAATCTATGAAAATCTCCAAGAAGTATGGCAGAACCACTTTGAGTGACAGTGAGGTGGGAGCTGCCACCTTTAAGGTACAAGAGGAAATGACCCTGGACGCAGTAAAGAATTTTTTTTTTGTAAGGAAAAGTGGAATCTGACATGGTCAGATTGAGACTAGAAACTAGGAAAAATCATGAACTGAAGCAGGGGAATAAACTGGAAGAGGCAGTGTAAAGCAACCAGAATGAAGTCTCATCTGTAGGCCTTCAGATTGAGAACTATGGGAGAAGAAAATGCCCCAGTTAAGTAAAAACATGCATAGGAGAACAAGGAAAGCCATAAAAGAAAACAAATGTTCACATGAGACATTGGAATGGTGGAGGATTTTACTTATTATTGACCTGAGATCCAGAGGATCTAATGAAAGGGGATTTGGGGTGTGTTTTGGGGGGATGAGATTTATGATGAACACAGAACAGTTGTAGTGCTGGAGGGATTCAAGCATAAACATTCTCTTAAAAATTGGCATTCCCTAGTTGGAGAAACATTCATGATATTTCATTTGAAATATCTTCAAATTCAGGGAACTCACAAATCTTCTGAGCTTGCTATAGAATGTTTTGGAAGAGCATAATCCACTATAGTGTTACCTGTGAATATAGAATTTTTTTTCCTGCTACTTTGAATGGTACTTGGCAATAATAAGTCACAATAAATATCAAATTGAATTTATTTTGATCAAAAAATATTTCTGTGGATACTCCTGATGTCAGGTGTCTGTTACAGGGCTGATAATTGTCCACTGAAACCCACTCTCCTCTCCTGTGCAGTATGAGACGGTTTCTTGTCATGACCAACCAAGTACAGCCTACTTTACTCACCCCCTGTGCATCCAAGTATAGGTCTGTCAATAAATTTTTGTCTATTAAACATAAACAGAATAGATATGTGTAACACACACGGGATTATCTAAAATGTTGCCTTTGTATTTCCCAAGTTTATTTGCACTGTAAACTGAAAATAGAATCTTGAGATCATGGATCCCACTTAACTTATTAATATGAATTTCATCATGGCTACATAAAATCAACAAGGAAAATAAAAAGGAAAGCTAAAGCAGTAACTGTTGTTGGGAAACTTTTGCAAAATTTTATTCATGAACCTACTTGGAATGAAAAAGGCTAGATACATGTCTTTCAGTATTTGTATTTTCATGCACTAAATATTTTATTTTCAGTTTTCCTTGCATATTATTTCCAGAGACCACAATGAGATGTTGAGAGGTCAAATAATTACAATCTGTTTGAATTTTAGTGTTTCATGGATCAGGCATGAATCTGTGTTGTTCACAACAATCGGGCCAGGATAATGTTTTATTTTGTATTATGTCAAATCTCCAATTCACAGATTTATAAATTAATTGAGCCAATGATACCAGATCATCAATCTCTAGCTAGTTCTTAGGGAAAAGGGAGCTACTTAACAATAAGAATCTCTACATGAAGGGAAAAAGACATTAAGACATCATGCCCTTTCTATGATGACAGACAGATGATGGACAAGCCAGGGAAGGAAGCAGGAAAACCTCCCCAGCATGTTCAAGCCCTTGTTGCACAGTTGGTCTGCTGCAGTGCACACATTTATTCACATCATGTTTTGCATCCTAATCTTAATCTCTTGTGGATTTCTCCATGAAGATCACTAAAATCTTACCTGTACTCTGCCATTTCTACTCTGAGAAGAAAAACCTAATATATACTTATCTACTTTGGAACTGTCATGGAATTTTAACAAAAAAGACAAGTCTCAGTGGTTTTGTTTATTAGTGTTTATGTTATAGGAGAAGCATAAAGGTTTTACTGCAAATAATTTTCTTACAGAAGCCACTTGGAAACCTGAGACTCACGAAACGTAACTACAGAAATGACTTGGAAGATGTGTCTACATTTAAATGATCTCTTCATTGACAATTATTCAAATAGAATGATTTTCACTGGGTAGATAAAGTCCAGAAAATTTCAATCACCAGATCAAATGAAAAGTAATCCTCTTTTGAAATCTGCTTTTTGCTCTCTGGTACCTCTAGTTCTATTCCTCTGAAGGGAGAAGTCAGCTCACTAAATCTACAGCTTTGACACCAGTTTTTTAGTAACCTGATCTCTCAAATACTCCTTTACATTGTGCTTGAATAAGAGATAACCACTGCTAACTCCCTTGTGGAATCTACTTCCTCTTACTATGTGTAGTTGGTTAGTAGAGGGTGGTTACCTGACCCAAGAGGAATTCATCTGTAAGGATGACTGGATCAATCATGTTGTTTCTCAAGAAATTCACCAAGTGACTCAAATTCTACAGTGGCTAGCAGTGGACCCACAGTAAATGACTGAGTCATGTGAAAGAGAAACACCTATAGTTGATGTTCTGTGAATGCTCTGGTCTGTGCTCTACGTCAGTCTTGGCTGGTTTTTTTTTATTTTATTTTCCTTAAAAAGATGAATATCAGTGTTCCAAACATAGCCTTTTTTGAATTGGCATAGTTTGGGTAAACATCTGTCACTAATTTATGAGACATTTTTGTCTTCCTTCCAAAAAGATTTTTCAATGAATCAAGTGAATGACAAGCAGCATGATGAGGTAATTTATCTTGTCATCCTTTTTATTATTAGATTCTTATTCAATATAAAATTCAACACACTTTAATTAAGTATATGTCATACTGGGCTGCCAATACAGAGTTGATGAGAGTCAGATGGTGATAACATTTATTTTTTTCTGACCCCCATTAATGCTTGGTTGTACCATATCTTACCTTTTCCTATACAAGGTATATCTCCGAAACTTTCTATCCAAGAAAAAATTTTGACATTTTTACCCTTAACTTTGATTTTATAAAAAAAAAATGAATATTTTATTTTCCATCAGAAACCACAACCAATCTCTTCCATAATTTCCTCATGGCAATCTTTACCTCCTTATTCCTGAAAGTATAAATTAGAGGATTCAGTAAGGGAGTCAGGATGGCATAAACTGCTGCCAGGACTTTGTCAGAGAAGAAAGTAGATGGAGGTCGTGAGTATGTGTAAATGCAAGGGACAAAGAACAAAAGCACAACAGCAATGTGAGATCCACAGGTAGACAGAGCTTTTCTTCGCCCTTCAGAACTATGAGTTCTCAGAGAGAACAAAATGACACCATAGGAGATAAGCAAGAAAGAGAAGATTATGATGCAAAAAAACCCACTGTTGGCCACCACAAAAAAGCCAAAGATGTGAGTGTCCGTGCAGGCAAGTTCCAGTAATGGATGCAAATCACAGAAGAAGTGATCAATGACATTGGGACCACAAAAGGGCAACTGGAAAATAAGGAGTATTTGTATTATGGAATGCAAGAAGCCCCCTGTCCAGGCTGCCCCGATCAGAATGCCACAGAACCTGCGGTTCATGATGGAAGAGTAATGCAAAGGCTTGCAAATGGCCACATACCGATCATAGGCCATGGCTGTGAGGACAATCACCTCTGCCCCACTGAAGAAGTGATCAGCAAAAAGCTGCACCATGCAGCCTTCAAAGGAGATGGTTTTCCTCTCATAGAGGGAGTCCACGATCATCTTTGGGGTCAAGACAGAGGAGAAGCATTCATCTAGGAAGGACAGGAATGTCAAGAAGAAGTACATGGGGGACCCTAGCAATGTAGGGCTGCTGAGGATGGTTACTACAATTAGTGTGTTGCCTCCGATGGTGGCAATGTACACAAACAAAAATACAACAAAGACTATTTTCTGAATGTTTGGATTCTGTGAAAGCCCCAGGAGGACGAACTCAGTTACAAAGCTTTGGTTTTGCATGATTTCCAAGGAAAAGATGAAATCTCTTACAGTGATCAGCATGTGGCATCTGCAGTTATGACAAAGAAAAATTGGCTTCAGATACATTCATAGTATTATAGTTATCAATAACTTGGCGCATCCATGTACAGAATTATATTCATGTTTCTGTTGTCACTGAGAACACAAAATTAGAAATTGTTGAAGGTTCTAGTGAAAGTTCAGGCAGACTTGGGTTGGAGATAAATTACTGAATGCCTTAAAAGAGGCCAAGTTTCAAATGGGGGAAGACAAGCATCCATATGTGGTAGAGAAGAGAAATAGTTTTCATCTCAAGTGTCAGTCTTGATCATTTCCTGTTGGCTTCCTGGAGTGAATTGTTGAGAAGCATTCTGAAGCCTCCTCTGAGTGATGAGGAAAGGACTGTAATTTATTAGTGATGCCTGCTACTGGCATGGAATGGGAGCAGGGGTGGTCAGCATGACATCCTAACCTGCAGACTGCCTTTTCAAAAAGAGAAGAAGAAATAACATGCAATTTAAATGCCACTTGAAAATCATGGCTACTCCTCATATACGTTTTTTATAGTCTGAACTGTATCAGGCCTTTAAATAAATTTATTTCTTTTTATAAAAGGGAATGTTTTGTGGAAAATTCCTAGCTCTAAACTTCATACATAAATAGCATGCACTAAATCTTGAGTTTATTTTTAATCTGTCATTTTAAAATGAGAAGTTCATAAAAATAATAATGCCACAACCAGAGTGTTGTCATGGTGACTAAGTGAAGTATGGTGGGGCTCAGGACCCACTGCCTAGAACACAGTCTGTGATAGTCCTATTGCTCCTGTTTTATTGGTGGGAATCTTATTCTTGATGAGGCTACGTTCAAGGAAACAACACATGCTTGATGTGGGGTTTGAACACAGAACCTCTGGCTTCAGTGCCCACTGGATCAACAGGGAAAGCAGTGAGATTTTGCATTTCAGCATGAACTTCAGAGCAGGGGTGATCTTCTATAAGCACTTACATGTACTTATACACAAAGGCAAGGAAGATAAACAAGTTGTTTATAAGACAGAGTCTTGAGGCTTTATTAATTATTTGTCAATTATTTACACAATGTGGTCAGGTCTGATGAGGTATAACTACTAAGGATATAAATGTTTTAAATTTATTTGATATTATTGTAAAGCAGACAAGTGTGTATATATTAATAGCTTACCTGCTCATCTCCTAGGATTAGAATGTGGGTCAAATTTTAAAATGGGAAAATGTTGCTTAATAAAGTTCCCTTATGAATTGTAGTTACTAGTAACTAAGTTATAAAACCATGCTCCTTACCCACAGAAAGCTTCGGAATGGGTCATCCAGACAATTATCCAGCCATTGACTTAATTTTCCACAGGTAGACACAGTATCACAGGATGATTGCATTCTCATCTATACCTGAAACCTAAATTTATCAGTCAAATAGCACATATATGTCTGCATATGTTAACATTTCTATATGTATACATATATATGTTTCTTAAAAAATAGATGAATAAAAGAAAAGTGGGATTTAGTAAAATTAACAGGTACACAATTAGGTATGTTAATATCTATCCTTTGGCTCACTTTAAAACAACTACTTCTATTAGATTTCCAAGGTCATTCCTATTGGCATCTGCAAGATGAACCCCATGTACCTTTATAAGTTGTTGCCAAGGATACAATAATTCAACCAAACCTTATAAGGTCATGAGATCATCAACAACCACTTGTTACAAAGCAAAAAACATGAATATATGCCCTATCAGTGCACAGCTAAGCCTTGGACCAAAGCAGGAATGACAATGAAGTGAAATAAGTAAGAACATCAGCTCTAGACTCATTGAGACCTGGGATCAAATCCAGGATCTTCTACTGGGGTGGAACATGTTACTGAAAATTCTTTAAATTCTCAAAGCCTCAGCTCCCACTTTTCTAAGTGGGCATAAGAAGAATGTCTATTGATAGAGTTCTTGTGAGAATCAGACAAGACAACACACTCAAAACCACTGATTCAGTAACAAGCACGGAAGGTCATGATGAGTGGTGAGAACAAGCTCCCAGAGTCACTGATACAGAAGGAAGTTATAACATCTTCATTCTTAATTCCTACTTTACCATGGCCAACAGGATTCTCGCTCATTCTTTGCTTTAGTTACAAACGTAATATATGTTGTTTGGTCACGGTCAGTACCGAAATGATATTTTCAATATGCATACCACTTTTAAACATCCTTAATAATTACTGATTAGATTATTGTTGCTCTCACACCCACTATCATCCACTTGTATTTCAGATGGCTTCATTGAACAAAGCCTAATGGGTGTGGAGCACATATCTGTGGGATAGACATGCTTGAAGCTCTGACTTGGGTGTGGCAAAAGCAATATATGCAACCTAAAATTTTTTACCTCTGTAATACACTGAAATGGAAAAAAGATAAACAAATAATACAAACTTAATTGGATATGCGGTGCAAAGGAAGACAAGGTAGCTATTAATCAAATAATTACATAAGTCTTAATCTGTACATTTCTTGTATCCATGGTTTTCTAACAGCAATAACATTTTAGAATTAAAATCTTCATTAGATGTAAACAGCTCCTTCTTTTTTCAGATGAAAGGGATATTTTAAGTTAGTGTTAAAACTTTGAAAAGGAAGACTATAATTTCCTCATGGTTTATTATCACAAGATTTATGATTTTAAATTGTTTACAAGGTCATTGTCCAAAAGACATTATGCTGTCCCAGATTGAATACCAGAACAGAAGAAAGACACAAAATGAGTAATTAGTGCAATGTGAATAAAATATGATATTTAATTAACAGTAATATACATTGGTCATTTAATAGCCTTGACAAACATACACATAGTAATGTAAGATGATAATAGTAAAGGAAACTACCTGAATAATGCACAGGAACCCACCAAGGCATCTTGGCAACTTTTCTGTTAATCTTAAATTACTCCCAAGAGAAAGTGAATTGAAAACAGAAGCAATTGTTCAATTTGTGTTAGTAATACACTAGCAATCCCAGCTTCATCATGCACTAGCCATGTGTCATTTAACAAACCACCAGGCCTCAGCCTCCTCTACTGTAAAATATATAGTCATACTTGTACAAGCTTCCTGAACCATGAAAGTAAAACAGACAGTTATTATTAATGTGTTTTGCAAAGTAAAAATCAATTATTGATGTCGGCATTATTTTTAAGCAGCATTTCCCTACAGACATAAAGTGGTTTGGAAATTAAATTTCATAGAATATAATCTGTTTTTACATCATGCTATTGTTCAATTATATTCATTATAAAATGGCATGAAACTGCTTTATTCATGTAATGCTTTTGAAAACAATATTAGTAAATAATTTCAGAATCATCAACATGTTTGTGTTTTTTATAAAAGTAACTCCAACTCTAAAAGTTTATTCAGAAGGTCAATAGAGGAGGAAGTTTTGTAATGAAAGATGGTGCTGAGTCATTTGTAATAGATAAACTTGAGTAATAATTAAAATATTTAGTGATAGGAAAATTTTATGTAAATAAAGTTATTAGCAATTATTATTGCATCGTGTATAGTAAAAATAAAGTGGACATATTTAAAATCATAAGACTCCACTCTCTTATGAAACATATGATATCTTACCCTTGATGTCCTTCCTTGTGCCATTTGTTAGGATGTCATTGTGGAAAGAGTAAATGCTGTACTCATTTTTTTAAAAATGTCAGAGTAATATGGGAGTACAAATGTTTTTGTTACAGGACACTTGCACTTGAATGTTTATAGTATCACATTTCACAGTCTTAAAGATGTAGAAAAACCGTATTGCCCACCAATACATGATTGCATTAATAAAATGTGGTATATGTATACAATGCAGTACTCTCCAGCCATAAAAAACAATAGTGAACTAACACTTTTTTACTAACCCCAATGGAACTGGAGCCCACTCTTCTATATTCTATATCAATAACTCTGTAAATGGCAGCACTTGAATTTACCATGTTACATCAGAGTTCTTTAAATAGCCTCAGAAAATTCTGCTTTTTAATCTAAAACATCAGGATGGGGAGACAAACGGAGGATAGATGGTAAATGAGAATATTTTAGAGAGAAAAAATCAAATGCTATTGGGGAGCAAAGAAAAATATATGCTCTTGTAACATTTCTAAGTTATTCATATTTAACTTGAACATGAAAGTCTGAAGGTAGGTCTAACTTCATTAGACTTGAAGTAATTAGGAGCTTCTACCGCCCTCCCCCATTAAGCAAACAGGAATTTGCATTCTAACAGCTGCTGTTCATTGAACACATTATGTATAGGGTGCTGTTCTATGGACTTCACATGTATTATTGTATTGTTTCCACATCCTTTCAGTTTGGTAATGTTATTATCCTCCTTAAGTATGAGCAGTCTAAGAGCCATAAGGGTTATGTAACTAGACCTAGTGTACACAGTTCTTAAGTGATAGGCTCATGCATTGCATTAAACTTTATAGGGGGACCACAACACCTACACTTTGAAGCACTACATCACAGTTTGAAATCCTGTCTGAAAATGCAAAAATATCAATTATAAACTCACCATTTTTCAGTTCATTGAAAATTCTGGTGATGGTTATCTCCGTTCTCCTTGGAGAAAATCCATTCAGGGGATGGCCAAAACATTGAGGTTGTTTCCAACTCTTCCTCTACAACTAATACAGACAGGAAAAGCATCTCTGGTGGAAGAGGTAGAGAATGTCCCCCGCTGCTTACCAAGTGCCATCTTCTAGGTGGTTTAAGAAAATCAAATAAACAAAAATTTCATCCTTGGTTTCCCATTACAATTTAAAGACGTATCCCTGAGAGGTCATGAGCCTGTAGAATTGCTTCTCAGCTTCCCCCAGGGTTGGAAATTTCTCATGAGTATGATTTTTCAAACACACTTTTAGGTGTATTCATTTGTGCAAGTGTTTGGAAAACTTTTATGTCTCTGATGAATTAGAGGTTTATTTTATTTTTTTCTTTTTTAGGTTCTCCTGGGTTTCTTTTTGGATATCCTTTCATTTTCCTTCATGTTCAGGAATAGGACACTGTGTATAGTT